AGATGTATTTTAGGTTAGACACGTCGGAACTCGAACGGCTCATCTTTTTTTCTTTCTTAAATTGCTGAAATTTGCCCAAATGTAACACCCGTCCCGTAATCCTGGCAAGCGGATCATTTACCTTACTCCGAAAAAGTAGTGTTTCATGTTCTTAAAAGCGATGCCTAACGACAAGCACTGACTCTACTGCTGTCTGTAGGGGATTTCAAGTGGGTCGCTCAGGAGGCCGCCAGCCCGGGGCTCGCCACCGCTCGAGCTCCTGCCCGCAAGGCGGCCTTCACGCCAGCCCCGGACTCTCTTTTAAAATCCCCTGCAACTGAAGAGAGCAGGCTGGACCCTTCACAATCTCTCTGTAATCACCTCCGGAATCAGCAAAGTGGTCGGAGGTGTGTGTCCTCTCTTGTCGGTGCCGCAGAAGCGCCGGGCAGACGTGCAAAGTCCCAGGACCAGGGAGGAGCTGGGTCAGGAGGCAGCACACGCGCGATTCCTCCACGGGATGGTGCCTCCCTGGCCACCCCGAGGGCACAGCTCCGTCTCACGCGGACGCGGCCGGTGCGGCCTCTGCAGCAGCAACACGGGCCACCTGCAGGCCGACAGGTGCAGACCCTGCTGGCCCGACCGAGGGGGCGTCCTGATCCCCAGCTGGGCTCAATCCCTGGTCTCTGCTCTTCCCCGCCCATGAGCACACGAGGCCTCCCCATGTCCCCGCGGGCGTGCTCCCCCTCTGCCCCGGTACCACCCCGTCTCCCGCGCCAACATGCCCCCGGGCCCCAGGACCCAGTCCGAAGCCACCTCCTCCGTGACTCCTTCTGTGCTTGTCCCCGGGGAGAAGCCGCCCCTTCCAGGCCCTCGCGCGACCTCCAGGACACCCCGGGCCACGCCCGACAGTCTTGCTCTGCAGTGACCCCTCCAGGGAAGGACCGCGACTCATCGGAACAAACACCGGCGAGCCTGAGGAATATTTGCTGAATAAATATTGAAAGAAAATGCTTTTGGGTGAGCCTGGAGGAGCGAGGGAGAAGGTCACATCCGCCACATGCCCCTGCGTGCGCCACCAAGGTCGGGACAGTGCAATTCAACCACAATCGGGAATCTTTTCCTTGGAAAACTAACATCAAGTTTTCCTGGCTAGGAGCTATCCCGTAGGGCTCCAGGTCCTCATGGATGATAGAAAAGTGTGTGGGGACCTGCAGGGCCGACCAAAGTAATCGTAAGATCGTAATACGTAGAGGGAATTTCTAGGTTTCTTTTTCTTTTTTTTTCTTTTTTTTTTTAAAAAAAGCAGACTAAGGAGGTGGTAGAGACAAACGCCCTCCAAGGCCAGGGCTCGGGGTCTAGGGCCCGGGCTGTCTACTTGGGGTCACCCTGCAGCGCTGCCGTCTCCTCCCGGTGGCCCATTGGAGGGCACCGTGGGGTGAGGCCATGGGAGGACGTGACCTCTGGGGCCTGCAGGCTGTGGGAGCGCCCGCTGCCTCCTTCCTGGCCGGTGGCTTCCACGGCGGAGCCCCCGAGGACGCTGCTCTTGGCGGCAAGGCGTCCCTGGGAGCACCTGGAAGGGGTGGCGAGCGGCTGAGGCCCCTCGAGAGCCCCGGAGGCGGGCGGCCCAGGGAGCCCAGGGACCCCATGGCTGCCAGGGTCAGGCCGGGCTGTCCTGCTGGCGGGGCCTGGAGCCCCCCGATGCCCTGTCCCCTGCCCTGTGCACGGGGCCCGTCTGCAAGCCCATCGAGGCCGCGGCCTCCCTGCAGCTGTAGCCGGAGGGTCCCCCGGGGGCAGCTTGGTCTGGGCAGCTCAGAACAGGGGGGCTGGGGCACCCTGGGGTCGGGGGAACATCCCTGGGGCGGTGGCTGTGCCACTCTGTAGGACACCCTTCCTGTCTCAGTTTAGGGTTCCAGATTTGCCGGCCTGGAGCCCTAAGGCGGCCTCGGAGGACCGCGTTTGCAGCAAGCGTGGGTGACATCGGGAGCACGTGAGTCCTCGTCTTCGTCCTCAGCTACGATGTCACTTTTATTTTGCGCACTCGTTCCACATCCAGGCGGACCAGCGTCATGGCACCTGCGGACCTTGACTTGTAGCTCTATAACCTCCAGTGACCCGAGTCCAGGACGCACCCGGGACCGAGGTGCAGTGTGTGTCGGGCGTCGGCCTACGTCCGACAGGGAAGAAGGATAATATAGACTCAGGCGACAGGACAGAGAGGCCCTGACATTTGCAGAGTGATCCTCACGAGCCGAGCCGAGCGCCGGACGAGCTTCCTCCAAACATGCCCTGAGGACGAGGCGTCCCAAGGCTCCAGTGTTGCCCTGATTGCTGCGGGGAGGCCAAGCGTTGTCTGAGACCGAGGGGCGCAGCTCATGCGAGCAACCACCTCCCTCCCCGTGGGAAAGATCCAACGGAACGTGTGTATATAGTAAAAGGAGCACTAAAGATGAAGAATATTTAAAAACGAGGGCCCGTCTGTGCTCCCTCCCACTCTGCAGCTGCCTTTTCCCCTCTGGTTGCTTTTAATTTCAAACACGGTGATTATTATTATTATTATTATTATTATTATTATTATTAATTTTTGCCACTTGCTAGCTCGCAGGATAAAATGTGGAATTTCTTTAAATAATATAAAATACCACTTGGAACTCCAGATTGGAGAGGCAGCCTGTGCAATGGCCACGGCAGCAAGCTCTGCCCCCGGTGTTTACGGGGCGAACCTGAATCCCGGCTGCGACCCTTATCCCGCGTGTGACCTCGAGCGCGTCATTTGCCCGAGATCCCCTTCTCTGGGGTGGAGATGCAGCGGCGGGGGCCCACGGGCTCTCATCAAGCAGCGAGCGTGTGCACACCTGACCTCGCAGCCCGGCTGCGGCGCGCGGTCCTCAACGTCTGCCGACAGTGGTGTCTCCCCGTGCAAACGCCGCGAGCCCAGAGCCCCCGCTTCTCCACCTCGTGTCCCCCCCAGACCAGTGGCAGCGCCTGAGAAACGTCTAATGGACATTCGTTGAGCCAGGGTGACACCCACGGCCTCTCCGGTTACTGTGGCCTCCTCCCCTGGACTGTGCACGCTATTAATTAACACTCCGTCTCCTGGGCTAAGTTTCCAAAATAACAGGTGGATTTTTAATCAGTCCTGAGTTACACCCATTATCCACGGCATCTACGGATTACGGCACCTGAGTGGTTGGGCCCCCTGATAAATAGGCTATCTTACGATTTCCTGTTGGAGAAGAGGCCCGGCGCCAGCAGGTGTACCATCGATCTCCGGGACTGGACGGGTGCTGGGGCGGGAGCACTTTATTTTTATTTATTTTTATTTTATTTATTTTATTTATTTTATTTTATTTTATTTTATTTTATTTATTTTATTTTATTTTATTATTTTATTTTATTTTTTGTAGCACTTTAGAACTCAGAGGCGCAGCAGAAGAATTACTGTCCCAGCAGTGACGTGGGGAGCGGACGAGAACAATCCCTGCTCATGGACACACTGGCGAGCGTCTCCTCTGGTCCCCCCGACCGGGGAGCCGATCTGCCCTGGTCCCCGTCACTACGCTGCGTGTCCAGGCGTGGAGCCAGGGGTTCAGGGAAGCTAAGTTTCCTAGGGAACCCTAACACGATCTGAAAAGACATCCTCTTATTCCCAAACCTGCGCTGTCTCTGTTAAATCTAGCCTGGCGCATAGAAAATTTTCAGTAAAAAAATAAATAAATAAATAAAAATAAAATAAAAATTAAAAAAAATAAAATTTTCAGTAAATGGCAAATATTAAAAAAGAAATAAAATAATAGACTTCACTTCTTTTGACTGGCCAGAGATGATTGTGGACGTGATGCTGGGCCTGTTTTTCATTTTAAGTGGAATTTTAGAACTTTTCTGAGGGTTCGGTCTTCTCTGGCTTTTGGGGGGTGAAACTAGGTTCCTGGGAAGAAAGGGCTTTATCGGCCGGGGGATTTCCCGCGGCACCGAGTGAAGCTAATTGTGCCGCTGGGCTATACTGTGTCCTTCCCACAACCCGCGCCAGAAGCCCCCGGACGCCCGACGGGAGGCTGCACGGCGGTCCTGCCCCGACCAGCAGTTCACCCCTTAAGGGTCAGGTCTGCAGCGGAGGAGATGGTTTTGGCTCTAAGTTTGCTGTTTCCTTTTAACAATTATTTCAGACACGCTATATCTAAGCAACAGTCCAAAAAGCATAGGAATGAATAATTTTTTTTAAATTTTTTTAAATTTTTTTTTTAGGAATGAATAATTTTTAAAAGGAAAAAATAAAAAAAAACCCTACTACAGAGAACTATAAAAAGCTCTTTTTTATTTTTTTATTTTTTGGTCTTTCCTTAAATATAACCCGGAGCCCTTCTGGGGCCTGTGCGGGCTACGCGGGCGTGTGTATCTGGAATGATGCTCAGACACGTGGCCAGTGGATTGTTTCCCCAGAACTGGTTGGATTGGGACTCCGCTTGCGGGCTCAGACTGGGGACTGGCATTCTCTTAGACCTGGGACCTTGGCCACATGGGAAAGGGCCTCCGTGTCGGATTAAGGACTTTGGAGACGTGGCCCAAGGGGAGTTTGTGCTACCTCGGATCTGAATTTGAAGAAGGGAAAAGGGTGGTGGCCGTCGGTCCCCGGAGTGGAGCTCCAAAGCGGAAGAGGCCTGAAACGAATATAAGGGAAGGGAGGAGAAGGGGGTAGGAAATATCAGAAAGGGAGACAGAACATGAAGACTCCTGACTCTGGGAAAGGAACTAGGGGTGATGGAAGGGGAGGAGGGCGGGGGGTGGAGGTGACTGGGTGACAGACAAGGTATTTTTAAGTAAAAGTTCTCACTTTTGTGAAAGGAGAATGTTTGTTTAGAGCAGCTCTTTGCAAGAGAATTTTTTTTTTCGAGAATGATGGCGATGCTGTATAACCCGGGACCAATCGGCACGTAGCCCCAAAAGGCTCCAATTGGACACTTGAAATATGGCTAGAGAGTCTAGGCTGCAGAATTTTAAATGTAATTAAATCCATTTAGCCTCACCTTTGGGTGATGCCCAAAACATTTTGTGAAAGGCAGAAACCAGGGAAGAGATGATGTCTTATTAGGTGAACTTTCTCCCCCAGGACGGCCACCGCTGTTCGGAACCCACAGAGATCATTGTTTGAGACTGTAATTTATATAGAAAATTAAACAATTATAGAAAATTATAGAAAAAAAGGGCATGCCATTTTTTAAAATTATAATTATACATTTTAAATTATAAATTATAGAAAAACGGGCATGCCATTTTTTAAATTATAATTATAAATTTTAAATTATAGAATAAAGGGCATGCCATTTTTTTAAATTATAATTATAAATTTTAAATCATAGAAAAAAAGGGCATGCCATTTTTTTTAACCATGGTACTTGAAATCTAAGTGTTTCCCATGGAGGATGGAGATTTTAAATAAAATTACCTAAGTGTTGAAACCTAACTGTTTCCCATGGAGGATGGAGATTTTAAATAAAATTACCTAAACATAAAAGCACTTCATCAACTACTAACGCTGTATTTCTCAAATTCCAGCATTATAAATTGAAAGGATTCTCTTCTCCAGGGGATGACATTCATTAGTCGATAAAGAAAAGCATTTCTTTTATTGTTGAGGAAATACACCTTAGACCCTCCTCCTGAATATTCCTTGGGCCTTTAACACTCTGGGAACGGTGTTGATTTATGCCATCAGTCAAACCACCCAATTTCTCACTTTAATATCTTATAATAAATGCTTGAAATTACTCACAGATTACTTCCTTTTGAATTATTCAGTATTTGAAAAAGAGCTTGGGTCTCAAGCCAGCAGTGGCTCACGTGGTAGAGCCAGGATCTCCACATTCACGTAATAAACACACGGTCGCAGGAACAAGGCCGGCGGAGGACGTTTATGCCGTTCGCGTGACTCTCAGAGCTAGCGTGACCCACGTATGCTATGTTTTCCCGCAACTTTTGGCCCAACATTAACTGAGTAGCATTAAAGGATAAGGCTCTTCCCTCCGCCCCACCCCCATGATGAAAACACTTGTATTCTTCGTAATTTTCAACCTGAATAATGGGCTTGAATGGCTGTTGTTTTTCTGGGCATCTGAAAGGGATTTTTGGGGTCTCCACATGACCACCTGACTGAGGTGACGAGCTGGAAGACAAAGGGGCACAAATGGAGAGCTAAAATATCTCCCTGTCCTTTCTCTCTTTCTTTTTATTTATTTATTTTTCCTCCCAAGCCACATCCTCTCTGTTTTCCGAGAGCTTTAGGAATAGTGGAATGGCGGAAAGCACGTAGGCCAATCCCAACTTCAAAAACATCTTGGCCCCGGGGCCCTGTGCTCAAGTCCAGCTTCCTCTTCTACAAAACAAGAATACGGAGCATCCGGTAGACACGGAAACATCAAGGCTTTGGTACCCAGCAAACGGGAGCCCCGTAATAAATGGTTATCTATGTTATTGGTCAGACTTCACGGTCATTCTCTTTATCTTCTGATCCTCTATCCATTTTTGTTTTCCTTCCTTTTTTCCTTATTTCTTTCCTGTTAATGTTAGTCATCCGTTTCATATTCCTCTTGTCTATCTTAAAACTTTATTTTTATTTTTTTTAAAGATTTTATTTGTTTATTCACGAGAATACAGAGAGAGGAGAGAGAGAGAGAGGCAGAGACACAGGCAGAGGGAGAAGCAGGCTCCATGCACCGGGAGCCCGACGCGAGACTCGATCCCGGGTCTCCAGGATCACGCCCTGGGCTGAAGGCGACGCTAAACGGCTGAGCCACCTGGGCTGCCCTATCTTAAAACTTTAAAGGAATAAGGCTATTTGAATAATTAAGTAACCTTCATCCCTTTCTTTGTCTAGATTTCCTTCTTCAGTTTGCTAATAGTCCTCCCTACTAACTAGCCCATCTCTATATTATATATTTTAATATAATATATATTATATATTTTATATTATATATTTATATTTTAAAAATATTATAAATTTTAAAAAGATGGTAAATTTGAAGATACCACTAGGATGAAGGTATTTAATATTTTTTTTTCCCTTTACTCTTGCTGAAGTATCCACTTTATGTCAGGCCCTGGGAATGGACACCTGCAGTAAGGAAGGGGTGTGAGGGCTGGGCGCCCTATCTCCGCTGGCTTCTGTGAACAGAGCTTTGACAGTGATGGGCTCAGACTAGGTTCCTATCCCTTGATTAACAGTTTTCAGCACTGGTACTTATACGGAAGTGAATGCTATTAGAAGTGTAAAGAATATCACCGACTAGATCTATTTTTGCTTTGAAAAAAAAAATCACCTGGGACGTAAGCAGCCTTTTTTTTTTTTAATTTTCTTTTTTTTTAATATTTTTTTATTTATTTATGAGAGAGAGAGAGGCAGAGACACAGGCAGAGGGAGAAGCAGGCTCCACGCACCAGGAGCCCGACGTGGGATTCGATCCCGGGTCTCCAGGATCGCGCCCTGGGCCAAAGGCAGGCACTAAACCGCTGCGCCACCCAGGGATCCCATAAGCAGCCTTAATTGCGTTTAGATTGGTTGTTCTGGTAAAGTCTTAGAAGGGGAGGACGCTTGCCTCATGTACTATAGTTGAGTGGGGCTCGGCCTCACATTCATGCAGGCAGACTCTCTAACCTTTAGGAATCTATTTTAAGAGTATTTAAAAAATATGAGCAACTTCTTGGGCTCCTTTTTAAACATTCCTTTTCAAGAGGACATGGTGATTGAGGGTGAGTTGGAAAGAGAGATGAGCTCTTGTTTCTCCTATTTAGTGCTTTGCTGAAGTATCTCCTCTGTCTCTTTTTACATCTGCTACATTAGGATTGGAAGAGTATCGAGAATTCTCAAGTCCTTGAAGGAAGTGGTCACGTAACGACACAGAAAATTTCTTCACGTCTTTGGATCCGCGTTTCCTCTTTTGAGAAAGAAGGGCATTGGGCTAGCAACGTAGGGTCTGAAAAGTCCTTTCAAGGAATTGGAGTCCCAGGGCTTAGGAGATTTAACTAAGCATCCTGGTTAAGGGGTGAGAAGCTGGGGGAGAGCTTGTCCACACACTTTCCAAAGTATCTGTCTACTTTTTAAGGGGTTACACCCAAAGTAGAATTTTAAATAAATTAGATAAATGTTTTAGACAGTAAAGTGGGATTCCTCGGTTGATAGGAGACAAGTCCTGAATGGGTGTACCAGGAGATCTGGCGTTTTTCTACCTACCGGGGCATCCGTAAGCAGTCAATATGAACTTTTGGGCTTTAGTTTTCCCACTGTAAGATTACTTACGTCTGCACAGATTTATTGTGAAGATTGAAGAGGATTGTGCACATGAAAGCACTTTGCAAACTCAAAGGCTTCAACAGATATTTATATCTCTGGATCACTTTGGTCACTTTCGGGGTATGTTTCAGAAATTTGATGTACTGCCCTTAAGTTGGCTGAAGCAGTGGCCTTTAAGCTCCACTCCAACAGTTAGGCTCCCACAAGAGGACCTTCCTGTTGTAAACTATCCCCAGGACTGAATGTTAACACATTTTTTTTTTTCCTAATGGGAAACATATTTTATGTCAGTGGTATGTTCTTAAAACTTTGCACAGTATTTAATTTGAATAACTGAAGACTAATTTCCCCAAATGAGTGTAAAAGGGAATGCACTGGCAGGACACAGAAATCCACAGGCCCTATGGCAGTTCCCCCCTCACTTCTTTCTTTCTCTTCCTCCCTTATTTCTCCTGTTCTGTCCATTTCCCTTTTCCTCTTCTTTTTCTTCTTTCCGTTTTCCTCCTTTTTCTTCTCTCTCCCTCGTCCAGAGGTGCTTTTATAGATCTAGAATCAGAATTAACTATTATTTTTAGCTTTCTCTCCTAAATCAGCAGCTCGTTGTTTCTTTAGGTACTTGTTTGGCCTTCTTTAAAGTATTTTAGCATATCTAATCTCTCTTCCAAAGTTATTTATTTTGGGATTCTGTTTTTTGCACTGGCGACATGATTTGATTAATGATTAGAAACTTTGTTACGGTATTTAAAAAGGAGCATATAATCGTAACAGTGACTGCTACAGATTTCCATTTCCATTATTCATGGAAACTCAGTTTAGCTAAGTTTAATAATTCAAAAATAATAATTCAAGTGCAATGGCCGATAGGAAAGCGACAAAGAATGAAAACACTTGAATGTTTCCAACCTCTTTCAACATGTGGGTTTTCTTTATGAAATCCAGCTACCTATGACCACTGCTGGAGTCCATGATAGACCCCCTGTCCCTTGGGTGAGGTTTCCATAGTAATATTCGGTAACAATATTTCATCTCTTCAGTGGAGATTCTGTGGCGTGATGGTAAGCGTAAGGCTGGAGAAGGCTCAAGTTCAAGTCCTGGCCCCAGGACTCAACTAACTTAGGGACCCCGGAGGGACAACTAATCGTTCAGTCTATATTTCTTTCTTTAGACAAAAAGAAGGGGAAAGAAGTATTTCTCGGAGTGTTTGGGTGTCAAATGAGATCATTTAGACGACTGTGTCTTATAACTACTAAAGTGTTACACAGGCAGCATGTTATTACTGGTAAAACATCTTTGAACGCTACTCAAAGCACAACAAAATGGGAGAAAAATAATCTTAAAAATCTGTGATTACCAAGGTGCTTGCACGATCAAGTCAATCTATATTTTCTTACTATCCTTTCAGAGGAGAGACTATCACAGATTCATTGTAATAACAAATTTACACTATAATACGCAACACAATATTTTCTCTATATTAGGATTTTCTGAATGTTATTTCATTTAAAATTTTGTGAGACATACTAACGCTCCGAAGGCTTTTGTTCGGTTTCAGCCCAAACTAATAAGTTCAAAGTTCATTTCTCTGTTTCTTGTATTTTCTCTGTTTCTTGTATTTTTAATACTTACAGACACTTTTCAATAGGTAAAAGACATGGAAACATTTGTTCAAAATAGGAATATTCATTGATAGCAAAGCTGATAGACATTGGTATTCACATTTTTTTGATGGGAATATGAAGGTAGTTCACCATATTTATTAAAATCTTACTTTTTTTTCATATTTGCCAACTTCCTTTTTTCCTTCAAGAATCAAAGAATATACAAATATAAACAAATCTACAAAGACGTGAAATT